TATCCAGAAAACATACATCTCAGCACTTCCATAATATCAAAAGATGCCATGGAAGATGTTAGTAATGGAAGCAAGATTACCGACTTTTAACTTTCTCTCTCTAGGCTCTCGGCGCACGTTATGCTAACGTACGCCGTCTGAGAATTAGCCATGGCGAGAAAGCGAGGCTGGCCAAAACGAGATCCACTCGTGACGGTCGGAGAAGCAGTAAGCGCAACAGTAATAGCAGATACACTAGATAAAGGTAATACACAACAACTAACTACTCCGATTGGTAGTCAATTTCAACCTAGCTTGCAGAAATTGGGGTCTTCAAGCACAACAACAGGACTGGCAAAATGGCTAAACCTAAGTGCAATCCTGATGAATGTGGCATCGTCATGCTGTGAAGGCACACCAGTGAACAACATAGTGGAAAATACAGAGGCCAATGGGAAAATTACAGAGATAGAGCCAAAAACCAATGGAACAGTGCAAGTGGAGGAGGCTACCAGATCACAACCGGTGCATGCAGAGCCACCACCATCGGAAAAACCATGGGTCAATATGTTCGCAGGTAATAGATCTTCAGAAAATAGTATGGCACTCTCTTATATCCCGCCAGAGATTATTGATGGTAATATTATGGTGAAACTGGATAAGAATGAAATAACAATCAAACTAATAAGTGGCAGTGTCCCCCAACTGTCTATGTAATTGGGGATGCACCTGGTTATAAATTCATGCAGAGATACATAGCTCAAAATTGGAGTTGAGTAACTGCTCCAGATCTGTTTCTTCACGAGGAAGGGTATTACATTGATAAATTTCATACACTTGATGATTTGAAGGATATTCTATATGGAGGTCCATACATGATCATTGATAGACCAATGGTCTTAAAACAATGGTTCTTTGAATTTGACCTTACGGCTGAATTCTTGACTGAAATTCCACTGTAGATCACACTACCAAAGCTGCCAATGAGTTGATGGGGAAATAAGGCTCCAGTAAAATGGCAAGTACCATAGGAAAGTCACTCTTTGCGGATGAATGCACAACAAAGCAGATGCGTATATCCTATGCAAGAATTCTGGTGGAGGCAAATGCCACAAAAAACATATAAAACTAGCTGGTCAGGTAGAAACAAAAGTGAAAGAAGCTAAAGTAGAAAGGGTGATGAGTAGAATTACCCTTGGATGGAACAGAATTACTTATTATGAGCATGCAGTGAAAGGTAGGGTGTGGATTATATGGGATGACCAAATATATGAAGTGTTTTCAATTGATAAACAAGATCAATTTATCCATTGTCAAGTTACAGGAAAATATAATGGAATGCAATGCTATCTCACAGTAGTATATGGGCAAAATCTAGTTGAACAGAGTAAGAACCTATGGCAACATCTTCAAAGGATGGCACAAACAACTAAAGGACCATGGATAATTGGGGGAGATTTCAATGCACTACTTACTTCTCAAGACCAATTGTCTAAGGTGCCTGTGACCAATGCTGACATTAGAGATTTCTTAGAACTATGCCACAACATCTGTCTTACAGAGCTTCCTTGGAGAGGAGACTATTTCACATGGACCAATAAACAATAAGGAGATGCTAGAGTGTGGAGTCGCATAGATAGATTATTGGGAAATGATGTCTCGATGATAAATTATGGCCATATAGTCACAGAGTATGGAGAGCCCTATATTTTAGACCATAACCTTATGATTATTACTATAAGGCAGCCTAAGACTCAAACCAAATGTCCATTCAGGTTCTTCAATGTTTGGGCAAATCATACATCTTTTCAGTCGATGGTAGCTGAAGGGTGGAGAAAGAACAAAGCATCAGGGAAAATGAAGAACATCTGGTTCAAACTTAAAGAGCTGAAAAGTTAGTTTAGGCACCTAAATGCAATAGAATTTAAAGGAGTAACAAAAAAGATAGAACAAGCTCGGATAGCACTCTCTCAAGTCCAAAGTCAAATGCAAACACACTACTCTGATACATTATTTGACCAGGAAAGAGAATGGCTACACAAACTGGAGACATGGTCACTTGTGGAAGAAGGCATTCTACAACAGAAGGCTCAAGCAACTTGGATCTAATTGGGAGATTCCAATAATAAATTCTTTTCAACTGTCATAAAAGAGAGACAACAAAAGAAATAGATCAATGAAATACAAGCTCTATCAGGTTTTACTATTACAGACCCAACAGTTATTAGGGAGGAGATAGTACAATTCTATAAAAGTCTGATGGGGTCTAGGGCCAATAAGCTACTTGCTGTCAATATGATGGTTATGAAGAATGGGCCAATTCTAAAACATCAACAACAAATAGACTTAAGTATAGAAGTGACTGATCAGGAGATATATGATGGGCTGAAAGATATTGGAAGTGACAAAGCACCTGGAATAGATGGCTATAACACAGAATTTTTCAAGAAAGCTTGGCTTGTGATCACAGAGGAAGTGTATGTAGCAGTGAAAGACTTCTTTCACACAGGTGTAATGTATCCGGCCATCAACTGCACCACTATAACCTTACTGTCTAAGATTCCAATCCTGTGACAATCAAGGATTTCAGGCCCATTGCTTGTTGCACTATTTTATACAAGCTGATATCTAAGGTCATTACTGGAAGATTACAAAAGATAATGCCACACATCATCTTTGAAGCTCAAGCAGGATTTATCCCAAGGAGGAAAATAGTAGATAACATCATACTAGCCCATAAACTTGTCAAAGCATACAACAGCCCAGATGCATGTTGAAGGTAGACATGATGAAAGCTTATGACTCAGTGGAATGGGTGTACTTGGAGCATCTTATGAAATACTTAGGCTTTCCTACAAAATTCCTCCAATGGGTGAAAACATGTATGTCAACAGTGAGCCACTCTATCATAATCAATGGAGAATTGACAAAGCCTTTTAATGCAGCCAAAGGGCTTCGACAAGGCGATCCCATGTCACCATTCTTGTTTGCAATTGCCATGGAGTATCCGAGCAGGCTACTTAGAGGATTGAAGCAAATAAAGGAGTACAAATACCATCCAAGATGTAGCAAGCTACACATAACTCATCTCAGTTTTACAAATGATCTACTCATGTTTTCCAGGGGTGACTCTGGTTCTGTGCAAGCTCTGCACCACTGTTTCAGGCAATTCTCTACTGTTTTTGGTTTACAAGCTAATCTAACAAAGAGTGCTATCTACTTTGGAGGAGTGGCAAAGCCAGAACAAATGAGAATACTACAGAGTGCAAGCTATTCACTAGGGAAGCTGCCTTTCAAATACTTGGGGATTCCATTAGACATAAAAAAATTTACTATACTTCAATGGCAACCGTTGGTAGAGAAAATTATAGCAAGAGTATCTTCATGGACTGCTGGGAAACTATCTTATGCATACTGCATTTCTTGTTGCAATAGTAGTTTATTACACTTGGATGGAACTCCCATTACATGTCAGAGGGCAACAAAACATCAAATGAAACAATTTTTCTAGAGAAGTTAGATAGCACTTTTTTTATTTTAATTTTCTATTTAATTTTCTCGATACATGAAATCATATATTATTTGGTTTAAGAAAATTGAGCATGGACGAATCATCAAGTGAGTTACAAGTGATGCAAGCAAAAATAAAAAGTGAGAGTTGTGATTCTGATTTTCTTATTCTATTCGGAGTTTGATAGGGGTTTTATAATTATTTGTCTCAACTTTATTAAAGGCTATTCAATCAAGAACTCTCTTTTTTGAAAAAAATAAATATAGATAGAGCTCCTCTAATTGATCGATTAGGTTAAAAAAAGTTTGACAATTAGGATTTCTAAGATTGTGAAAAATAATGCATAGAAATTTGGATTTCTGTATCAACTTCAATATTGAGATTAATCACGAAAAATGAGTTGGAAGAAAATTATTTACAAAAATGTACCACGTCCAACCTTGAAATAAATAACAAAAAAAGAAAGAAAGAAACTTTCAAGAGAAAATTTTAGACTATAGATTTATAGTTGTGCTTTGAACGACTTTGCGAATTGAACTTCAAATCTTGCCGATTAGAAAAAAGAAAAATATCAGCTCTATCCATTTATAAGTAGTTTTTAAAAAAATTGGTCAATTCATAAAATATTATTAATATTAGTCAATTAGCTATTTGTAGCCAAAAAAGGTCAAATTTTTGCTTTCTTTTGTGTGGGTGTTATTAGAATAGATCGAGTACATCTTAAGGAACATGAAACTCAATTTTGGAATAATTTGGTGGAGTTTGAGGTGGTTTGAATTGAAAATTCGAAGTAAAAGATGAACATGAAAAAAATAATAGATGTATCACATTGTGTATCACTTTTGTATCACATATGTATTAGTATCAAATGTGTATCACATGTATATCCATGTATACACCAGCGTGTGAGATACATGTTTGATACATGTGTCGCAACATTTTTTTGAACTCGATTTTAACTACGAATTTTGATATCAAATCAGTCAAATCACCTCCAATCATCCTCAAATTTTGTATATTGACTCACGTATATGTTTTCGATGACTCTTAACTATACCCATTGAACAAAGTTCTTTTTTGCTTAGATTTTGAGATCTTGTATATATATTTCTTATTTTATCACTTTATTTTCTACCTCATTCATGAAATTTTCTTTCCGTCTTGTATCTAATGTTGCTAATCACATTTGAAAATATGAAAGGGATCTTTGTGTGTGATTTTTGGAGAGAAAGAACCTTATTTATGCGGATTTTCAAATTTTATATGTATTTAGCTAGTTTTGATAAATCTATAATTAATGACTAGAGATTGATAAGTTGAGGCTTTTTGAGACATTTCCGTAAGAATCCCTTAGAAAAAACCATGTATTTGTGGATGAAGTTTTTAGTTGTGCTCCTCTCAACAATGAGAAACATAAGGGGGTAGGCAAATACTTACCTAATATATGTAATATTTATAAAAGCCTTGGGGTATAAATGTAATTTAAGGTGTTCACCTAATTTTCTTGTACTTATTATGGCACGAGTCTGAAGTATAATTGCCACCTTACATCGCTTTCCCTTTCTCCCCCTTTTGGCGATTTAGGGTTTTCTCGTCTCCTGGGAAATGGTAAGAGCTCTCTCTCGTCCTACCTACGATTCATCTTCCTGCGTGTATCAGTATGTGTTTTTGTGTGTTTTAGGCAGAGATTACATTAATCCATTTTTCTCTGATTATTGTTGCCAATTCAACTAATTGAACATATGTTTGATTCTTTGCAGGCTGATTCTCCTCGCAAAAGGTTAGGCTTTGTTTCTGTTATCAATTCCCCATATGTCTTTTGATTTTTATGTTGAAGCATCTTGCTCTTAGAAATTGGTACTTGCATTTATTTGTTGTATGCTAGGGTTTCTGATATGATGTTTTATGTTTACTTGTCTATGACTCTAGTGCGAGGTAGATCTATTTGGTTATGTGATATATAGGAGGAATTTATGTAGTTGAGACCATTTGAATAAGCTTTTGGATGATTATGGTTTGAATTTTGACTGAGAAAATAGACATTCAGATTAGTGCCAATTGACATTATAGGATATCGTAGAAATGTGAATGTTAAGATGAACGTGCAGTCATACAAGATTAAACATAATCACGTATAGCAGAAGGTGCAAGTAGGACACATAGAGGTTAAACTGTGAGAATGGTTGACCTAAAGTTGCACCGGTTTGTAGGTGTGAAACCATATGAGTGAAGGTTTTAAAAGGGGACAAGATAGACCTAAAATCACACAAAGGAACTTGTGTCGGAAGACCTGCAATTTCTTGGAGTATAAAGCAAGCAATATTAATGTTTTAATACAAAAGATGACTCCATTGAAGGTTCCTTTATGATTTGTATGAAAGTCTTACATGCAAAAAAGGCAGTCCATTATTTGAAGTATCCTTTTAATATGTTGTTTTAACTTTTTTCCATTATCTGTTTATGGAATAGGTATTCGCGCTCTCCTTCTCCTTGGGAAGAAAAGTCAAGGTCTAGATCCCCACCTGGATCATATTCGAGGCCAAGGGGAAGATCCAGGTCCAGATCAAGGTCAAGAAGTCGTGGAAGGTCTGTTGGAACTTTAGCTCTAATCTGACTTAGTATTTCTTATTGTAGAGATACGTGCATATTACCTGGAACTTATGCCCTAGTGTGTGTGTTGATGGCTTGTTTTGAAGCTACTTATCTTATCCTCTATGACTTATTCAGGGAAGAAGTTTCTAATCCTGGAAACACACTTTATGTGACTGGTTTATCTACAAGGGTGACGGAAAGGGACCTGGAGGAACATTTCTCAAAGGAGGGAAAGGTTGGTTATTATTAGTATGCGTATTGCCAAGTTATTTTCTTATTCCTTATCCAGTTCCCTCTCCTCCAGCTCTTCCTGGCACACGGAAAGATTTTTTCCCTCCAAAACCAGGAGTATTGTGTTATCCGTGAGTAGGGTCTCGTCAATATGTACAACAACAGATTGATCTTCGGTGGCATTTTGATCAGAATAGCTTACCATTGTACCATTATCAATTTCTTCAATTGCTTTTACAATTTTTTTTTCTAGGTGAAATCAGTTTTTCTTGTCGTGGAACCACGTTCTCGGATTTCTCGTGGTTTTGCTTTTATAACGATGGATTCTCTTGAAGATGCTAATCGCTGCATTAAACACCTGAATCAGTCAGTTCTTGAAGGCCGTTACATAACAGTGGAAAAGGTTAGTTACTTGTACACTGAGTGGTGAACTATGTGCTTCCTATTTGATTGCATATCTGTTTTCTTAACTTGGAGGCTTTCTGGTTATATTCAGAAGACATTGCGTCAGTTTTGTTGGCAGCAATCAAAGATGAACAGTTCTTCCCTTGCAACATTATATTCACTCAGCTTGATCAATGGCCTGCTAAAACAGCTTTTCACATGCATCTGATCAACTAAACTTAGCAACTATATTGCCCAACAACTATACAACTTCAGCAAATACTTTCAACTCTCAACTAATCAACGGTCATTATCAACAATCTAAACAGGCTTTTATGCTATCGCATACTTGGCATTACCTCGGGAAATACTTTCAACTCTCAACTAATCAACGGTCATTATCAACAATCTAATCAAGCTTTTATGGTATCGCATACCTGACATTGGTTTCTATCTTCCATCTTTTCTTCCTGTGGTAAAACATGTTTAAATAACTAACCTGCTCTATTTCACAACTAAGATAGTATTGTCATGTGCTTGTGCCACCTCTTTACCAAGTATGGAAGGGAAAGTAAATGAATCTGATTTCGTTGCCCAGATGAGAGAATGTTGTGTTCATTCTTTATTACAACAAGGACTACATTGTTTGGTCTAGATATATCCTATTTCTTTTGGATGTAAATGTGCATTTTGTTCAGATTTCCCATATTGAAACATTATATATTTTTCAGTCTCGAAGGAAACGTGCAAGGACTCCTACACCTGGTCACTATCTCGGGCTTAAGAACGCAAGGGGTGAAGGTGAGTGTTCCTATTTTTGTACAAGTTTGTATTGCATATTTAGAGTAATTGCAAAAGTTCTTTAACTATTGGTTGCTTTGTTCAAAGGTCGTGGTGACCGTGGTAGATATAGAGACCGTGAGGACTATGGGTACCGAAGATCTCCAAGGCATTCACCATATAGAAGCAGACGAGATTATTCTCCTAGGCGCTCACCTTATGGGGGAAGGTCAAGAAGGGAGCGTTCTAGGTCGTATTCTCCTTATGAAAGGGGCTATGCTCGTGGTCCAAGATAGGAGTTTATCAAGTCCTATGAATTCCTAGATGCAAGGGAAAACTGCTACTGAGGATCTTTGTATTTTGGTGTGTAGAGTGGGAAGAAGTATTATGCTATTAATGAATGAATATTTGGTGTGTTTGTTCATTGTGCTGATGTAGAGCTAACTTTTAACTTTTACCTTTGTTTGCAAACTGAACAATATGAAATCACAAACCGTGGGAAATTTAGTTCTAGTGCTGATGCTGGAATTATGGTCTGATGAAGTTTTCGATTCTTGTCCTCTTATATCTTAGTTTGCCTTTTTCTTCAAGATGAAATTATCATTTTGCTTGAATAAATGATTTGTAGGCCGTGTTATGATGCTTGCAATGATCAAGAGGGAATTCTTGTAGTTTTGCACGAACGGAACGTAGTATGGTCCTGGAATAAGTATACCACAACTTTCTTATGGTCCTGTAACAAGTATACCACAATTTTCTTTTTGGACTCGGAGATGATTTTGGCTAGCTCTTTTGTAGTGTTTGCTTTGTTTCTCTTCTTCCTGATTCCTTGAGGATTTCTTCAAAGATTCGTGAACATCTTTTCCTGTTCTCAGGGGTATTTCTTGATCTCTAAAATGCTTGGTCTCTAAACGCTATGAAATGCCCATTATAGGGCAACGTTCTATAGGTCGATTTAGAATTTGTATTTATAGGTAGAAGATATATGACGCCCAATGGAAGTGAATTATGGAGGGGTTCAAATTCGGATACTATCGTTATCAAAGAAAATTGTAAGGAGATATGTGTGTCTCCAGTCTCGAAGTAAATCTTCTTCCATGTTGGGCACATCATTAAACAAGCAATGTCCGGGGCAAGTGCATAATAGTCAGTTTTAGCACCCGCTACTTAAAGAATAGCTTGAGTTTACAAAAAGTTTAACATTTAATCGCCTCTTCAAATTTCAAGTTTGAACTGCAAGAACCTAACTTCAGACTTTAGACCGAGTTCCTTCTTTCTAGTTGGACGTTCAACACTTCTCTGTGAACTACATAAAATGAAAGAGAAAGGAGCTCTTAGATCTAAAATGTATCTGTTAGGAGTATTAGACTTTTATGAATGGTTTTTTCTACAAAGGACTCAGAGATGAGGATTTTCATATAATTTTTCAAGAGGTCTGGACCATCAAATCAAGATTCAATAGAGGGTGAACTGATTGTTGAGCATACCAAACGAGATACTCTAACCAGGTATACACACCTTCATAGAATTGACCATTCCAAGAAGTCCACGGCCCCAGGGCCAAGATGGACTTCATCGGGAGGAAGTCTTAACTGTTTAGGTTTAAGTTCTCTACATAAAAGGGCCCCGTCTTTTTATCATAATGTAGTGTTTATTATTTTACTGAGTACCTATTATTTTTCACTACCTAGAATATCGTTCCGTGTTACCAAAAAAAAAAATTTGCTTGCACCCTCCTTTGCCATCAGGTTAGCTACTTTGTTCGTCTCCCTGTAGTTGTGCGTCTCCTAGTCTTAGAATTATTGACCTGCATTCAAAAATAATTGAGTCAAATACATAGTTACCCGAGTTAAGCATTCTTATTACCTCAGTCGAGTATGTGTTGATTTCAAGTGGTATGAGTCTTCTTTGATCAGCAATCTTCAATCCCTTTAGAACAGCAAGAAGTTTGGCTTGTGTATTTGTGGTGTGGTGTAGGCTTCCCATGAAACCCAGAACCTAGTTTCCGCTAGAGTTCCTGAAAATTACCCCCATACCTCCCTTACCAGGATTCCCAATGGTTGCCCCATCAGTGTTGAGCTTATAATGTCCTCTTGATGGGGGAGTCCATTTGACCTAATTGGCTTTTTCTTTTGTGGGTGGTTTGTTTGCTGAGATAGTGATATACTTAGTTGCCTTTGCCAAAATAATAAAAGTAGGGATCACATTTTTTTTATTGTTGAAGAGGTTATTATTCCTGGTAATCCAGATCTTCCAGAAGCTAAAGGGGAATAGATCTTCCCAACTAAGGATGTTGTTGAATGGCTTTCTTTTGAGAGTTGACCGTGTGGTAGCCCAGGCCCTGTGAGTGAATGTGAAATGTTGAGTTTGTGCTATAGTGGTACTCTTTGAGGTTAATTATTGCCAGAATGATTTCGTATTAGGGCTATCAAAGAAGAAGTGGGCAGAGGTTTCGAGAGCATCATTGCAACAACAGTACATTGGGTTACAATGAACCCTAATATTGTGGAGATATGCCCCTGTGGGAAGCCTTTCATGGTAAAGGAGCCATATGAATGTTTTGATCTTATTGGGGTCCTTCAGTTTTCAGATCCATAAGTAGGTGTTGCTATACCTTTTCACCTTCTAGAAGGCCATGTTGGCAAGGAGGGTATATGTAGATTTGGTGCTGAAGAGGCCATTACTGGTGTTTTCCCATATCATTTTGTCCTCCTTTATGGGATTGAGTGGAATAAAGGTGGTTAAGAGGGTGTTTATGATGTTTGGAGGGATGTTCAAGGAGATGGGGGAGGTATCCCAAACCCCATTGTTGTAGATGGTGGCAATTGTGGTTGACAGGTCAGCTTGAGTGAGGAGACGTTCTATCATGGACATAATTGATGGATGGTTTGGGATCCAGGAGTCATTGATGAAGCTGACTCTGTTCCCTTTGTGTACCACCAATCTTCTGGCTTGTGTAAATATCTCCCAACCTTTGAGAATGAACTGCCAAGTGGAGAATTTTGCTTCTTTTTTTTTGGGTTGGGGGGGGGGGTGTCTCCAGTTGCAGTGCTTGGCAATCAAAGTTTCTTCCCAAAGGGAAGAGGTGTTATGAAAGAGCCTCCAGGAAAGGCCCGAATGGATAGCTTTGTTCTTCAACTATACCCTTTGTATTCCTAGCTCTCCCTAGATCTTAGGCTTGATGACAGTGTCCTAGTCTACTAGGTGCATTTTCTTCCTATTTGGTGTAGTGCCCCAGATAAAATTCTTTTGTATTTTATCAATTTCCTTTATTTTTTTAAGGAAGATTGATGAATTACATGACATGGCTAGGAATACTGTTTAGAGAGGATTTTACTAGGGTATTTCTCCCAATTATGTTTAGAAGGTTAATTTTCCAACAAGCCATTTTGGAGTGCATGTTATCGATAATATTGGAAATCATTGTCGACAGGCCTTTTATGAAATATAGGGAACTCCAGGTATTTGTCAAAGGTAGTTGAGGCCTGAATGGATAGGCTGTTGGAGTTGGTCTTCATTTGGTGGGGTTGGTAATTGGCAGAGAAAAATACCCTTGACTTTGTGACAATGATTTTTAGGCCTGAAGCCTGATTGAAGGAGCTTAAAGTGCTAATGATTGTGGAGCAGTTTTTATGGTTAGCTCTTGCAAAAAGAGTCAGATCATCAACAAAGAACAGGTGAGAGATCTTAGGACTAGACCTGCTAATGCTAATTGGGCACCACTCCTTATTCTGGACAGCATCATCAATTGACCTGGAGAGTCTTTCCATGCACATAATAAGGGGAAAGGAGATCCCCCTGCCTGATGTGTATAGTAGGTTTGAAAAGGGTGGTTTGATCCCCATTCACTAGAATAGAAATGGAGGAGAAGCTTACCCATGACATGATAAGGTTAATGATGTTAGTAGGGAAGTTAAAAGCATGGATATTGTCCATGATAAAGGACCATTCAATTCTATCAAAGGCCTTCTCCAAGTCAATCTTTAGGATCATGCAAGGTATTTTGCCTCTCATTCTCCCAAAGTGGGTGATTTATTCCTGGACAATGATAGCATTGTCAGAGACTCTCCTGTCGGAGAGGAAGCTTGCCTGACTGGGGACAATAATATAGGCCAGGTATGGTTTGATTCTATTGACTAGGATTCCAGTCACACTTTTGAAGACAATGTTGCATAGACCTATGGGCCTGAAATTCTTAAGCACGGAGGCCTGAGGGCATTTTGGAATTAAGCACAGGAGGGTCTAATTCATACTGGGGTGCATTATTTTAGATGAGAAATATTCTTTGCAGAATTAGATGACATCCATCCCCATAATGTCCCAGTACTTCTGGTAAATGAAGGGATGTAATCCATCAGGTCCTGGGGCTTTGAAGGGCTTGAATGTGAATATTGCTCTTTTGATTTCACTATCTCTAAGAGGGAGAGCCAGATTGGCTTTTTGCACAGTGGATAGTGATAGACTCTAAAGGGCAGAATTGGTAGTGGAGAAGGGGATTGAGTGTATGAGGAAGTGTAGAGGTTCTTGAAAAAACTGGAAATGGAGTCTTTGATTTCATGTGGTTCATACTGCCAGTTCCCAGCCTCATCTTTGAGGGAGAGGATCATGTTCCTCCTCCTTCTATTTAGAGTAAAGGTATGGAAGAACCTAGTGTTGGCATCCCCATTAAAGAGCTAGTTTATCTTAGCTTTCAATCTCCAAAAGTCCTTTTCATTTTTTAGGATTGAGTCTAATTCCTCAATTAGAGTATTTTCCAAGTTTAGAAGGAATTGACTAAATTGATAGTTAGGAGATTTCTGGATGCCAGCAATCTTGGCCAACAGACTCTTCTTTTTTGTGGAATATATTACCAAAGGTATGCGTATTCACATTGATGACATTATTCTTGAATCTTAGAGATGAATGGATTAAGGTGGAGTGTGTTGGGAAGGAACCCTGGATTAGGCAGGGAAGGTTGGGTGACTGCACCACATGGACTCAAATCTAAAGGGCTTAATATTAACACCTTAGGTGCTATTATGAAGCATAAGAAGAAGGGAGTGATCAAAGTGGGTCCTAGATAAATGGGTTACAGAAGCTTCAAGGAATTCATTTATCCAGTAGTTGTTAGCGAAACACCTATCAATTATCTCTAGGATTAGGCTAGTCCCATTTTTGTATCTCTTGTTAGACCAAGTGTATTTACTTCCTTTACAGCCTATGTCAACTATTCTACACTGGTTAATACAATTCTATAACAGATTACTTCTGTTGGTGTTAATGCAGTTACCACCAAATTTGTCTCTTGCTTTCAATACTTTTTTGAAGTCTCCACCCACAAACCAACTACCACTTATGCTGTTAGAGATATCTATCAGATTTTTCCAAAGAGTTTTCCTATCCTCTAGATAGTTACTTGCATAAATAGCCCAAAAAAACCAAGGGGGATTGGAAGGTAATACCTTGACTATTGCATGAATACCTTGTAGTGTGACTGATAATTCATCTACTTGGAGGATGTTTTCTTTCCACATAATGATGATGCCTCCAGAGTGCCCCAATGA